AGGAGCTCAAGAGGTCTCGATGTTGAAACAACATTTTTAGATTTAAAAGAGACTCTAGTTTACTTACCCTTTTGACATGCATCGCATAGGTGATCTTTTGAAAATTTCATTTTAGGTAGACCAATTACTAAATCTTTTGCAACTATTTTATTAAGTAGATCAAAGTTAACATGTGTCAAACGTCTATACCAAATCCAAGAGTCTACACTCATGGTAACAAGACATTGGACATTATTCAAGTAAACTTCTTTTAAGTCTAGCATATAGATATTATTAACCCTCACATCGTTAAACATACAATCCTTATTTTCATTATGTTCTATTATGCAACAATTTTTGGCCAAAATCACCTTATACCCATTTTCACACAATTGACTAATGCTAAGAAGGCTATGTCTAAGGCCTTCAATTAATATAACATTTGAGATAGTAATAGTTAAGGGATTACCTAAACTACCTTTTCCAATTATTTCACCTTTGTTGTGATAACCGTAGGATACAAAACCTTTTTCTTCTTCACCACAAAGTCGGAGAATAGAGATATGTCTCCCGTCATGTGTCTTGAGCATCCACTATCAAAAATTTATTTTCCTGTCATAGCGTTAAGACACCCAACCTACAAAAATTAAGCAAAAGTGGTAGGTACCCAATTCTTATTGGATCCTTGGGAGTGAATGAAAGAATTGTTGCATTTGAGAAACCAATTGAAATTGCCTTTAGGTACTAGAAATCACCTAAATTTGCATTTTTCATTAGTGTAATCTTTCTTGCAACAAATAGTGACAAGACAACCTATAATGATGTTTACTTTTGCAACTTGAATCATTCTTGATAAAATTATAATTTTATTGAGGCTTTTCAACCTTTGGAGAATTAATAGCAAAAATGTCACGAGATTGTGATGCCTTGTCCACTTGGGCTTCAAGAGCACTCACTTCTTGTTGTCAAATTTGACAACTTTCACAACTGAACCGACAAGATTTTTCATCCTCATTTTTATGATTTTGACTATCTACAATAGATCGCTTTAATGCTTCAAATTTATTATTGGTTTCTTCAACCTTTGCTTCCAAGTATGTAAAAACTTTTTCATTGGAAGCAAGTTTCTTATAAGCATATAATGTTTCTTTTTATAGATTATCAAAAACAATTCTTAATTCCATAAAAGACAACTTATCAACATTATAATATTTAGAATGACTTACATTATTTTTATTCATTTGACGTTGATTTGCCATGAAACAATAGTTTTCCTCTTCATCGCTATCACTTGAGCTTTTATCACTTGAGACATCACTATCGATATCCCAAGAAACAAAGGCTTTTCTGGAATTCCTGAAGTTGTTTCGTTGGCCCTTTCCTTTCTTATTGGCAAGAAATAGACACTTTGGTCTATAAGGACCCTGCTTTTCGTATTCATAGCATATACTTTTTGCCTTATCTCTTTTGTTGTCTTCGTCTTTAGAGGATGTGGATTTTATTCTAAATTTTACAAGATTATTGTCAGAGTGTTTGACACCATTCTTTTGAATTTATCGATTGTATCTACTCACAAATAATCTCATTTGCTCACTATTTGAATCTTCTTCATCATAAGAATCATTATCATTAGCATGCTCATCATTTGAAGATTTTGAACTTGAAGCCCTTATAGCTTTAGACTTTAATCCTTCCTCCTTGTTGATGTCTTTCTTCTTTTTCTTCTTTTTCAAGCTTCTTTTTATGTTTTTCTAAGCAATTGTGTTCTTGCTCATGTTCTTCCAACTTTTCAAACAAGGCGGTGAGATCAAGTGTTGCAATATTGTTGGCTTCCTTGATCGCGGTGACTTTTGGTTGTCAATTCCTAGTAACACATCTCAAAACCTTGTTAGTATCAATAGCATTATAAATCTAATTACCAATAAAATTTAAACGATCAATAAGATGCGAGAATCGATTTTACATTTGAGCAATGGTTCCACCATGCTTCATGCAGAAGAGTTTAAACTCTTGGTTAAATGTAATAATCTTAGCTTGTTTGACCTCATTAGTTCCCTCATAGGTAACTTATAGAGTATATCGCATAGCTTTAGCAGTTTCACAATGGGAAATACGATAAAACTCATCAACACCAAGAGCGGATATGATAATTTTTTTCGCTTTCCAATCATGTGCCCACATCTTATAATCATCCTCATTCCATAAGTTTTCCAGCTTTGGTATAGTAGCACCATCAACCTCATATTTCACCGTTGTTGGACCATTTTGAACGACTTGCCACACACCTTTGTCATATGATTTGACATGAATTTGCATACAAGCTTTCCAATAACTAGAATTTTCTCCTATGAAAATCGGGGCTCTTTTATAATCCCCTTTAGGTTTGTAAGTCATTTTCTAATAAGTTTCAAAGCCCGAATGAACCAGGCTCTTGATGACACTTGTTAGACGATGGCGCCTTATCTATAGGGAGGTTAATAGATCACCAGGCCAAAAAATCTAGATAAAATTCTGGTTTTAAAAATTGATTAGAAAAGAGTGCACACGAAAGGTTTTCAAAAATTGTCATCTATACGAACCACGTTATTGGAAGTCGGATATGCAAATATAATAATGATTATGGAATGAATACAATAATCTAGAATTTATATACTTCAATCAAGTAAAAACTTATTTAACATTTGTAGCAAGTTACAAGCAATATTATTTCCAATGATAACTAGCAAAAGAACAAACTAAACAATTTGTCGAACACTTGGTGTGCAACAGAATTTTCATAATTTTTCTTTGAGATGAACAATTTGTCGAACACTTGGTGTGCAACCGAATTTTCAAAATTTTATTTTGAGTTGTGTTGATATGAAAGAGCACTTATAATCAAAAGTGATTATAAGCAAATCAACTCACAATTCAAAACAAAAATAGTCCCAAAAAATTCCTACGAGTTGATCGATTACTCAATGCTATTTGACAAATTGATGTATAAAAATTAAAGTAAAATGATAAAAGAAAAGAGACACAAATATTTGTCTTCACATTTCTTCACCTTCCTCCTTGCGTGTGGGTACGTCTGTACCTAATTCCAATGGAATTAGGATAATTTTTACTATGTCAAAAAGTTGATACAAGAGAAGTGTTCCAAGAGCAACTCCACAAACCCTAACGTTTATTGTTGATTCAACCTCTTCTCTTCCTTTAATCTTGAGAAATACCAAAACACGATAGATCCCAATTGACTTGTTGATATTGCTACTCCTTTGAGTTTTTTATCTCCAAATCTTTCACGTACGATCAATTATACCTATTGCAATACAATATTTCAATTTGATTTGTCATTCTCGAGATACTTCCTTTGCATTTTTTATCTCTAAAGGGTCATTTGCGTTCTTTATCTCCAAAGGCTTTCACTAGGCCGCAATCATCTCTTGAACGTCTTACACGAAAACCCTCAAATCAACCGATGATCTTGGAGGACAAAGACAGAGGAAAACTACTTACTTAGGACAGTACATGAGCGAATCTGAAAGGCTCTATGAGTCGACCTATACAGGCATGTACAGTGCAGAAAATAATTTTTTTATGATTGATCCGGTTTTGATTATGTTTCAAATGATTCATAAGACCTCTAAATACTAGGGTGCGACACAAACTCAGAGAAACTGCTCAATATACATAAATGTTATATTCTTATAGTTTTGACATCATGCAAAATACATCTAGAGGAAAGTTGCACTCACACAAGCATCAACACATGAGTTCCTAAAATGTTATGGGTCATAAGCGCTTACATATAGAGAAACAAACAAAACAAAATAAAGGAGAACACTATTCCTTAAGCACTAGTGATGTTGGATATTTCTTCTTCTCCACTGCTCTCTTCACTTTCATCATTCTCTTTTTCAGCTTCTTGATCTTTTTCAATTAGGGTTTTGGTAAAAAGTCAACTTTGTGACTGACTTTCTAAGGAATGCATAAAGCCATAGCCTTATGTGTCTCAAGGAGTCCACATGACCATTGTTGTGCATTTCAAAGCCTTTCAAGAGATCCAAATTAGTCAAAAGGAGTTGAATTGATTCCATTAGAAGAAAAGTCAACAAAAGTCAATGTCAGGTTAAATAGGTTTTTTTTATCAATGTAAGCATTTTTTATCATTTCTTATAAAACCAAGGCAATTGATCAAAGGAATGTCAAAAGAATGCAGAAAAATCTTAAAATGGGTGGAATTAGGTTTTTGAAAATGTTTCTAATAATAAGAGAAATCATGGTCATTCAGTCAACTTGCAAGGCTTACATCTAGCTCATCAATGGTTCAAAATGTGCAAGCAAAGAATCAATAGAAAGAGAAAATTTCTTACTACATTTTTGTAGAAAGAGTCAAGTCCAAGAAGTATAAGGTTAAATAGTTACAAGGGTTGAAAGTGAGTGTCTCAATGATGATCAAAGTTCAACACTTGGAGAAATTTCAAAGAGCTTCCAAATAACTCAAGTGCATGAATTCAAGAGAGAAATTTATGGCAGTCCATCCAGTTTCTCAAGATGTGCCCAACTACAAGTTTGTTCTATCAACCTTGCTCTTTCATATGACACCAAGAACGCCTCATCTGGTTTATTATTGAAGAAGTTAGAAGGCCACGAAGTGATGAAGATGGAATGGATAGCTTGTTATTTAACTTGGTGAATTTCAGATGTTCTTATCAGTTTTAACATCATGACTTCATGGCCATTTTAAAGGGTGTTCCATTCATTCTTTTACCTCTCATCCAACACAAGAGTTGATCCTTGACATGGTGGCTTTCCAATGATCCCAAGATTGTAGCAAATGGAGCCTTATAGCTCAAGATATGAGGACTCAAAGTAAGGTGAGTGACCACAGGCAATAAATTGACACGGAAGCAGAATTGTTGCATTTTGAGATATTTTGATATATGGAGCTTGCATCACGTCACGATACACACACCACTATCTCACATTTTTTACTCAAATACACCTAACTTACCTTTTTGAACTAAACAAAAGTATGCATGCATGGGTGGGGGAAACTTGCTTCAAATAAAAGAAAAGATGCCATTCCCTATGTTGGTAAGAGAAACACACCAGGCCAACTCACTCTTTTGGCAAACTCTATTTCATTATTATCCCATAAACAACAACTCAACACACACCATATAGGGGCCTGACCTCACTCTCCTTTTGGATTTTATTCACTCAGTTTGAAGCAAAGGAGGGAGAATCAGTTGAACACCATAACAAACTTTCTCTTTTTTTTCTCTCATCTTCAACCATAACAAACTTTCTCTCTCTTTCTCTTATCTTCAACCATAACAAACTTTCTTCTCTTCTCATCCTCAAGATCACGATTCTCTCTGATATCTGAAAGAAATTGAGAGTGCTTGGAGGTTTCTCCTTCCGTACATCAAGGATATTTTCTGTTCAGCATCACCTTGCAATTGGAATCATCGTGCTTACTTGGTGCAGCATCATCTCCTTCTACAAGAAGTGAAGATCGAAGCCGGATATCCATTGAAGCTTGAAGTAAAGCGAGCTAACACCCATCGTTCATCCGTTAGGTAAGCGTTCTAATCACTCAATCTCTGATTTTAGGCTTGGTTAGGTTCATTTCACTGCATCTGAAGACCTACTGATACGTAGGCACTGGCGTTAGACACAATACATATTGATTCGCGAAATTTCCGTCTTGAGATCTTGAATTCATGTGTGGATTTCTCTATATTTGGATAAGTTTTGGACAAAACCAGGCCTGGATTCATGATCCTCTCGAAAATCTGAGTGGAGTAGTGGTTTTTGTTTATGTTGGCCGGATTCGTAACCACCGGAAGTGGTGGCGTGCAAACAGAGGGGACGACCGGAGCCCTAGCTCCGGTGTCGTTGTGGTTAATGCAAAATGCGTGAGGTGTCGCCCTTTCATTGGCGCATGTTTTAATTGTTTTTTAATTTTGTTTATTCACAAAAATCTGAATAATAATTGGATTAAATAAATAACAAATGTAATCAGTTTTTTTGTTTGGATTATTTGAGAAGCAGATTGGGCTTAGCGCTTCAGCTTCTCGCACCTCCTCATAAATGGGCTTTGTAATGCCTTAATAGAATTTTAGTGCAATTGGAAAATTCTGACTTGCACCCACCTCTGTTTGCAGCAACAATTTCTTTGCATTTTCAATTTTAATTGATAAAACTCATTTTTGTTCACATTAAAAATTCACAAAAAATATGTTTTCAATACTTGAGTGTCTCAAGAGTTTTGTGATGATTTTTTATATTTTTTTTATTAATTTTGATAATTGTTTGAATTAAAATTGTGTACGTATGTCTTGATAGATGTTCTTTGGTTGTAACTTTTGGTTGATGGCTTGTTTAAGCTCTTATTAAATCATTATTTTTTCCATGTTTAGACCTCTGATTTCTTAGGTTTTACTTGTTGTTTTGGTGTCATTTTGATGAGGTTTTAACCATTTCGTTAATTGATTTTGTGATACATCGATGCATGCCTAAATATGGACATATATCTATGTGCTATGTGCTTGATTTGAAATTTGCACTTGTGAAATAGCTTAGGATTTTTTTCAAGACATGATAGTAGACACTATAACATATTTTGTTTATTAATTCCATGATTTTTTAGATCTCTTTAGATCTTTACTTGATTTTTTTTCTTTTGTGTTACACAAAAATGTATAGTTGTTAACTTATTTGCCTAGTTAGGAGATGGCTTCCCATGTATGATTCTCAATGCTTTGACAAGTGTTTAAATTTACTTTTTAAATAATATTTTAACACGTTTAGGTAGATTTTTCCTTGATGTGTAAGTCATAATTGAGTCATATGTTAGTGAACCATAATGTTTGGTTCATGGGATGATAGTTGGATGTTTTTGACCTAATTTAGACATCTAGTTTGCTTTGATCATGACCTTTCTTGTAAGATTTGTTTGATATAAATGCTTAGAGTATGCTTCTGACTTGTACCATCTAAGTGATTTATCACATGTTTCTTTAATCATTTATGTGTCACGAATGAGTGATTCCTTTTAAAAATGACATTGCTACTTGAATTGCTTAATTGTTTGAGCATTGTTTGTATGTGATGTTGTGTGGTCCTTTGCAACCATAAGATATGTTTTTAAATTTGATTCTTGCTTGATCTATGCTTTTACTTGTTACCATAAGGGATCCTTTATGACCATGATCTTTGATGTTGAAGTTCTTAGGAACTAGTTTGATATTTGTGTGGTTTCTTTAGCCAATGTTTGCATGATTCTTTTGTGATTATTTCTCCATCTTTGGGAGATGTTTGTGTGAGATTTTAAATGTGTGCTTGCTGAATTGTTTAGGTTCCTATATTTCCTAAATCCTTTCATCATTGCTTGCTAAGATTTGGTGTTGTCTTGACACTTTAAGCCTTGAGTGCTTGTATGGTTGTTGATTGCTTTTGACTTGGTTTGTAATGCCTTAGGGAGAAACCATTTAAGCATGACCCTAAAGGGAACCTTAGTAGATGTATGTGTTAATTCCTTACTTAGAGACATATTTTGCTAAGTTGATTTATGACATGAAGTATGCATTAGAGCTTAGGCTTGTTTGATTTCTACTTGACTGTTGTTGCTAGACCTTTACACTTAGGTGTTTGGTGGAATCTCAAGCCATTTTATTGTGTTGTTTATATTCTTGTTTTGTCTTTATATGTCCCCTTAGGTTCACTTGGTTCATCTTTGAATCAAGGTAGACATTAGATTTTAAACCATGCATGATAACATTAGATAGTTCCCTTTATCCTCACCCATAGGTCCATTTTGCATGCTAACATTAGGTAGTTTTCCCTTTGTTATCTAAATATTAGAACCATATCGCATGATAATATTAGGATCTCTAGTCTCCCTTAGACTTTTTATTTTCCATTTTTCATATGTAAAACTAAAACTTCTTTTTCTTAATCAGAAAACTCAAAAACACCTAATGAATAAAAATATGTGTAATGCGCCATGAGCCTTAAGTACATGAAGAGAACTTCGAATCTGAGGCATCTGACACGATCATCCAAGAGTCTTCATGTCATAGACTTTAGCATGATACGTGTCTCAATCATTTTCAAAACCTAATGGAGAAGTACTCAAATACCTCTTGTCTAAGAGAGCTACTTGATGTATTCTCCTACAAAAAAGACCCAACCAATTCCAACATTTTTTCCTTCGGGGCTTTTTCTTTTGAAAATCTTTTCTGGTAAGAATGTGTTAATTCCTTTCTACAACAACACGTGAGTCTCCAAAGGTCGGACTGCAGTAGAATGTGAAATTAGAATCGTTCATAAAAAACACAAATCAAACAAAAACTTTTGAGCCGAACTACGGCGCTCTGATTCCTTAAAAGGGATACGTTGGCATTGGGTTGCAGGGTCTAAGCGAGCGCAACTATTTAAAACATGTGTTTTCCCTGTATTTTTATTTTGCATTCATGAATTCCTTTAGCTTGTAAGTTTAAATAGACACACCATTTGATTTGAACAACAAGACTGGATCATGTGGAATACCACAGACGTGAGGGGTGCTAATACATTTCTCTTGTGTAATCGACTCCCGTACTCGCTCTCTTGGTCGCAAGACCTTGATTTCTCCCTTCTCATGTTTTCTTCGGTGTTTTCCTTTTCCTTCCTTGAAATAAATAAATATTCGATGGCAACTTCAATGTTCACTGTTTTCTTAGTTGCTTCATATACTAGATGTGGTTCTAACATTTCTACTAATGTTCATAGGCTAAAAAGGAGTAGAAAATTTGAAAAGGGTGAAATTTATTTGCAAGTTAACAATGGAGCATAGGTTTCTGCATTAGCCATGAGATGTTATTAACGACTTTACCTAATGTTTATTACTTCAGTTTGAATACGGTTACTATGTAGATGTAATTAACAAGAATTTTATTTCTATTTCTTGTTTGGATAAGTTTGATTTTTCATTTATAATGAAGAATAATTTTTTCATCTATTTATTAAATGACGTATTATATTCTAGTTCACAAATGAATGATGAATTATATGTCATTGATATTGAAAGTCAAATCTTTAACATTAATTCTAAAAGGATGAAACCTAGCAAGTTGATTCTGACTTATCTTTTGCATTGTCGTTTATGAAACATAAATGAGAAATACATTTCGAAAACCCATAAAGATATACATTTTAACTCTTTTGATAATGAGTCACATGAGATATGTAGATCTTATTTATTTAGAAAGATGAAAAAGTCCTTATTCATAAGAAAAGATTAAAGAGTTAGTTGTTTTTCAGCCCTCATGCATAGTGATGAATGTAGACCACTAAACACAGTAGCCAAAAGAGATTCTTCAGTACTTCATCACATTTGTTGATGATTACAATAGATATGATTATGATTATTTAATGAAACATTGAATCACCGACCTCAATGTGCGAAATCATTTTTGGGAAAGACATGCCTTTAACAAATTAATGGTGGCTTTGAGGCTTATGCATGATAAACTCCCTACAAATGATAGCTTAAAGAAAACATTAACCTTTTATTATGTGTTCAAGACTCATTTTTTCATATTTTCTTTTGATTGTCCCTTTTCTATATACATTTGTACCTTGTTCTCTAATGTCATTAACATGAATATCTACTTTAGCTCTAGTAAAGACGTATTAAAATCATGTGATGAAAATTGAACAACATGGTGCAAAGTAGTGTTGAAGGCATCCTTTGTCAACATTATGAGTTTAGTTTGGTGGTGCAAAAACCTAACAAGATTTCAAGGGAACGTTACCACCTGGAAAAATTCTATCATCGTGGTTAAGTCTAGTGTCTGTTTATCAGGGATGAAAACTAAACACATGTATCATACTTTCATGAAAGATTTCAAGATCCTCAAGAGATTTGATGTGGTTATGCATCCTCATAGAGATCTTATAATAACAAGGGATATGGCAGCCTCCAATTTGTAATTGGATGAAATGCACTACGAATGGTGCTTCTAATACCATCACAAAAAACTTTTAGGGTTAACTTAGAAACCAAAAGGCTAAGTTTATTAGTGGATTTACATAAATAACACCCTAAAATCTCTAAGACTTTTATTTAAATAAAATCATGTGAATCATACATATTTAAATAAACATGCGAATTAAAACCTCAAAACCACGCTTCTTAAAAAAACTTTATAACAACACATCATAAATTTAAAAGTCATATTATCTCAACTGAAATATCTTATACTTCATTAAAACAAATGACTTAATCTCAACATAAATAATTAAGTCAACCGTCTCAGAAAACATCAAATAATATAAATTCGTCCTAATGTTACACTATCAAAGCAACACTGCGGAAAACTAAACTCAAAATGATAAACAAAAAGAAGTAGACATATATATCATTCCTTCGCAATAAGCAGCATTTAATGCTTCTTTATCCGAGTATCTACATCGTCATCATAACGAGCAACGCAACAAAATGAAAGGGGTGAGAATAAATTCACATATGTTATCGCTATATAAATCAACAAGGATAGTTTCAAATACCATTAACATAAATCACACATATTAATTCACACCCATAAACAATTACAATGTGAATATGAAATGTCATGTAATTCTCCTCCAAATGCACGTGGTAACAAGTTTTTAGATGTTAAAGTTACCAAGTTTTTAGATGTTAGAGTTATGTTACTGAATTATCCATGTCTTCAATACCTCTTTGAATCTAAAATTGTCATTGGTTCCTCTTTGAACTATGATCTTGTTGGACCTAAGTTCTACCTATCTCTGATATATATGACTGCATGAATCATAACAACAACATTCACAACTCATATTCAACAACGAATAACATTCGTATCTCATACCCAACAAGGTTCCTCTCTAAATCCATAGTTTAGCCAATGTAAGGTCAATACTCTAATTCCTGTATGAACTACTCAACTCAACATATTTACAATTATAGTTCAATCACATAATCATATAATATTCAAAAATACTCATAAACGGAGCAAAATTATTAACATATAAGCTCAATATTACTCATCAACAGAGTAAACACATTATTACTTATGTAAGGCAACAAACTGAGTAGTAATAATAATTCCACAATCTTTACAAGATTAATAGAGTCAACTCAAAACATGTCAGAGTTCACAGAAAAACTCTAAAGCAACTCTAAATAACTCAAAAACAACTATGACAAATTTATAACAACTATAACAACTCTTAACATCACAAATATGACTTTTAAACTTATAAAAAAGGTAACGAAAGGTCACTCAACACAAAACTTGCCATACTAGATAGCAAACCTGAAACGTCGACCCACCACCAATCGACCGTTGTGATCCACCTCCTAAACCACCGATCGACAGCCCGCCGCACGCGCCTCCACACGCTACCGCTAAAAGCAACTACCACCTCCGCGTTGCGACTTGAATCTTGCGTTGACTTACGCCAACGCGCTTCGGCTCTACAGCTGCCTCACATGTGCTTAGGTGACCATGATCTTGCCTTCGCGTTGCGACTTCAGTCTACGGCCTCGTGTCACGCGCTTTTCGTCGCATATCGCGACTCTACTGCCGTGTTGCGACACTAACGATTTGTCGCTACCGTACAATGCGATCTCACACCTACGAGTTGATCGTACGCCCGCCGCCGCTGATCCAGAGTGGCCCTCCGAAAAGCTCGGCTCGTTTTCTGATTTTTCCAATTTTCAAACTTTTTCCAGTTATTTGATTTTTTTCATTGAAAAAAATGTCATTTTGGATTTTTTTGCTTTTTCTTATAATTTTAGCCAACAACACAAATAATTTTACGATTCATTTTTTATAAAAATAAATAATTAAAATTAAAGTGTTACAAATACAACTGTTAACTTTGGAATGCCAAGAGAGAAAAAGTAAAGTGGGATAAGCTCATTGTATTATTCTTGTTTTGGAATGTACAAGACAGTACTATATATACTGTTAAGTAACAAACTAAACTGTTAAGTAACAAACTTAATAGTTAAGTAACAAACTAAACTAACTGTTAAGTAACAAACTAAACAGAATTATTTGTATCATGTAATAGCCCCCACAAGCTGGACTATGGATGTCTAATAGACCAAGCTTGGAAACAAGAGAATTGAAAGAGGGAGCTTCCAAAGGCTTGGTGAGAACATCTGCCAATTGAGCAGTAGAAGAAACTGGTAAAAGGTGGATGAGACCAGTTTGGATTTTCTCACGAATGACGTGGCAGTCAATTTCGATATGTTTTGCCCGTTCATGGAAGGTGAGGTTGTGAGCAAGGTAGATAGCACTTTTGTTGTCACAATAGACTGAGCTAGGTTGATCGAAGGAGATGTGGAGATCCTTGAACAAATACGGCAACCATTGCAATTCACAAGTCAAGCTTTCCAAGGCCCTGTATTCCACTTCTGAACTTGATTTGGATACTGTAGACTGCTTTTTGGATTTCCAGGATATGAGGGAATTGCCAAGGAACACACAATATCCAGTTACGGATCTGCGGGTAGCAGGGCAACTTGCTCAATCTGAGTCTGCGAAGCCAGAGAGTTTGAGTGGAGAGGAAGATGAATAGAACAAACCCTTGGCAGGAGCACCTTTGAGATACTTGAGTACTCGAATTGTTGCAGAATGATGAACTTGCATAGGATGTGAGATGAATTGGCTGAGTTGTTGAACGATGAATGCAAGGTCAGGTCTGGTGGTAGTCAGATATAGAAGTTTTCCAACAAGCCTTCGATAAGCTGTGACGTATTCGAAAGGTGGTGAGTTATCATCATGAAGCTTCAAGGAGGAATCGAAGGGAGTAGAGCAAGGTTTAGTAGCCAATAAGCCACTGTCTTCGAGCAATTCCAAAGCGTACTTTCTCTGATTGAGGAAAATGCCATGAGTTGATCTGGCAACTTCTAGACCAAGAAAATATTTAAGCCTACCAAGGTCCTTGATTTTGAAAGTGGAATCAAGGAAGCATTTGACATATTGGATTTCCTGCAAATCATTACCGGCTAAGACAATATCATCAACATAGACTAATAAGGTAGTAAAATATGGGTCATGTGATTTTGTGAAAAAAGAATGATCAGCAGAAGAATATGAGTAGCCAAGAGAGATAAGGGCAGTGGACAATTTCGAAAACCACTGTCTGCTAGCCTGCTTCAGGCCATATAATGACTTATGCAATTTGCAAACTTTGTTGGTCAAAGAAGTGCAAACTTCGTTGGTCGAAGAAGTGCAAACTTCGTTGGTCGAAAAAGCAGAAGAAGTGCAAATTTTGTTGGTCGAAGAAGTGCAGACTTCGTTGGTCGAAGAAGCAGGTGGCAGGAATCCAGGAGGCAGATCCATATACACTTCCTCATGTAGATCACCATGAAGGAAGGCATTATTGACGTCGAGTTGTTCCAAGTGCCAATTCTTAATGGCAGCCACTGAGAGAAGGGTTCGAATAGAAGTAAGTTTCGCAACAGGTGAGAAAGTGTCGAAATAATCCACACCCTCCAGCTGAGTATATCCTTTTGCTACCAAACGGGCCTTGTATCGTTCGATGGATCCATCAGCATGATGCTTGATTTTGTAGACCCATTTGCAACCAATCGATTGTTTGCCTGCAGGCAAATCAACAACAGACCAAGTATTTGTAGATTCAAGAGCATCTAACTCAGATTTCATAGCATTGTTCCAACAATCAAACTTGCAGGCTTGTTTATAGGTTTTTGGTTCTGTGAAAGAGCTTATGGATAGACAAAATAATTTGTGATCAGGACTACATTGGCTATAAGATAATACAGAAGAGAGAGGGTAGTTAGAGGAACCTGAGTCAGATGCTGGCAGCATGGGGGATAGCAAATTGCAGTGATAATCATATAGATAAGCTGGAGGTTTAATATTTCGATATGATTTTCTGGTTTGCACAAGAGGGGAGGGGCAAGGGGAGTTGTTAGTGTCATTTTAGGAAGAAGAGAGGTTGGTGGGAGAATCTGGCTGGGGGAGAGAGGTAGGAGAGGAAGGTTCATTTGATGGTGGAGGTGAGATGGGTGGAATGTTGGTGAAAATATCAGGTGAATCAAGGGAAGGAGGGTCAGGAGTAGGAATTATAGGATTAGGTGCAGGTGGGATGGATGCAAAGGGGAACACAGTTTCATAAAAGAATACATTTCTTGAAATGTAAAATTCATGTGTGATAGGATCATAGAGAAGGTAGCCTTTTGTGCCTTCCCTGTAGCCAAGAAAAATAGATTTCCTTGCTCTTGGTTCAAATTTAGTGCGATGGTTAAGCAAGGTCGAAGAATAGGCAAGACAACCAAAGACTCTCATATGGTTAAGGCTGGGAGGAGTAGAATGGAGTTTTTGATAGGGAGAGTGGTTGTTTAAAAGAGGAGTGGGAAGACGGTTTATAATATGAATGGCCTGTTGTATGGAAAGGTGCCAAAGGTTGTGAGGGAGGTGAGAGTGGAAAGAGAGGGCACGTGCAACATTCAAAATGTGCTGATGTTTTCTTTCCACGATACCGTTCTATTGAGGCGTTTCCACACAAGACCTTTGATGAATGATTCCTTTAGAAAGGTAGAAAGTGGTCATGAGAAACTCAGGACCATTATCACTACGAATTCACTTGAGTTTCTTGTTAAATTGAGTTTCGATAAAAGATATGAAGTGAATTAAATGGTTTCTGGTTTCACTTTTGTTGACCATAAAAATTGTCCAAGTAAACCTGTTGTAATCGTCTACGAGGGTTAAAAAATACTTGTGGCCACATATGGAAGGTGTGGAAAGAGGGCCCCAAATATCGACATGAAGTAAATCGAAGATGGCAACAGACTTAGTATTACTGTGAGTAAATGGCAAATGTTTTTGTTTAGCCAAATGGCACGTATTACAGGGCTTATGATTGTCATTGTAGGTGACAAAAGGAAATTGAGAGGAAATACATTTGTGTATGTAAGGACTTAAGTGTCCAAGCCTAAGATGCCAAATAGTAGCAGTATCGTGTTTAGCAGGTTCTAATTGGGGAGAAGAGGAGGTGTTTACAGAGCCAGATGTGGGAGAGATGGCCTTAGGTGGGGTGGCATCAAGAACATACAATTTGCCAATCCTCCTAGCTGTAAATCCAGTCATCTTGGATTGGGACAACTGCATAATTTGACAGCAATTAGGGGAAAATTTCACATCATATAAAGTGGAGTCAAAAAGAGTGGTGACAGATATAATATTGACATGAAATGAAGGAAAGTAATAAACATTGTGAAGGACAAGTGTGAAATTTTGGCTGCAGATACTCAATGTCACAGTCAATGTTATGACACCGTATCTGACTTTCTATAAGACAGTAAATACAAAAACAGTAAATAACACAGTCAATTGTTTACCCAGTTCAGTGTGAAACAACACCTACTCTGGGGGCTACCAAGCCAGGGAGGAAATCCACTATAAGAGATATTAATTCAGGAATAAACCAACCAGTTTATCTCCTTCACTTAAGACCTACCCAATGCAACTTCAATCTAAGTACAACTTAAACCTGAGTTCCTACTCACTCCCCCTCAATCACAGCAGTGATACTTAAAACAATTTACTAAAGAATTACTGAAGACACTCTTCAGAACATACACTTGATTATGCTTCACAGCTTTTTAATCAAGCAACACAAACACTCTTGCTTCACAGTTTTGAGTGATACATAAACCTAACTTGACTTTGCTTCAAAGCTTTAGTCAAGAGACACAAAACACTCTTGCTTCAAAGCTTTGAGTGATACAAAACCCTTACAATTAAAACCTATTCCAAGTCACTTATCACAATGATACTTGCTTGGATTACAATAGTTAAAACTATACAGCTCCTAAATGATCTTCTGTCAAAAAGGATAAATTCTAAACAGCAGCCCTGTTGAATATATAGCAGCTGCTTCTTCAGTTAGGGTTTCCACAAAAAGCTAGGGTTAATTCCGTTTGACCTTAAGACTTGGTCACAAGACTTTATCAACCAGGTTAGGGTTGAGCTAGGTTAACCCAAAGTCCACGAGAGATTCTGTTCTGGAAAGACTGAGTCATCTTCCTGAAAAATCTCAGAATTAACCAAACTGCATAACTGTTAGATCAGAACAGGATGTCTTAACATTTGTTATGACATCAGAATTCCTGTTTACTGATTTTGGTAAATGTGATCATTTTGCAAAATGCTTAGATACACACTCATAAACAGCAGCTACTGTATGCCATTATTTTTCTGCAAAGGTACCTAATAAACCAGCACCTAACAAACCAGAATGTTATGACATCAGTCATGACATTCACACACCTGGTTTTACCAAAAATACATGCCAATAACTAAACACCTACAAAGTGAATCACATAGTAAAACTGAACCAGCAATAGTTGTAGTGACAGAGTCACCATTAGGCATTGTCATAGATTTAGGTGCAATGTGGTATGTGGAAAGGAAACTGGCAAAGATATGGGTGATGTGATCAGTGGCACCTGTGTCAATGATCCACCAGTTATGACAAGGAAGATTCGAGGAATTCTTACCAGAGGAAGTATGAGGAGAGGTGTGGGACACAGAATTAGTAGTATAAACTGAATTAATCGAGGGA